CAAGTACACAGGGGTTTCCTGAAGCCATGGTCTCCTAAGAATTTTCTTAAGCACCAACTCCAGAGTTCAGAAAGACCAATTTTACACAGAAGGGTAAGACGGGAAAGCCTGCTCTGAGGCAGGATGTCACGCTGATGAGAAGATACACAGTGTAGAAAGCTCTCTCTTAGAAGATGGAAGAGAGTAAGAAATTAGTAATTGCTGAAGCTAGCGGTTAAGTTCTTTACCTATGAAATATAGCCTCCTGATTTTTTGCAACAAACAACAGGTCTGAAGCACACTTAAAAAACTAGTGGTTCTTCTGATAGTTAAGAACCAAACCAAACAAAAAAAACCCTCAAAAATACCTCCAAATATTTTAAGTGCTGAATACACTTTCCTGCTACTGGAAAAATTTAAGAGCAAAAAGGGAAGTCAATTTTCATCATGATCTGACAGTCAATTTCTAGAGAAGAGGGATCTCTTCCTGGTCTCCCCTTAACCCAGCTGAAATTTTGTGGAAATGTGGTCTCCATTACCTTTCCAGAGCATTAAGTTAAAAACTGTTAGGGCAAAGTTTCTCACAGAACAGTTGAAAACCTTGAGGAAACCACAGAGGGTGGAGAGTTGGTTGTTTTACTGCAGGGGTGGTTTCTTTGTATTCATTCTTAGAAGAAGCAGACAGCTGAATACCAAAAGCCCTCTGCTTCATTTTTAGCACTGGGCGTAGTGAAATAATTGAATAGAGTTTTGGTCAAAAGTTTTGACTTTGCACTCAAAACATGTACTACTTAATTTAAGAGAATCCAAAAAACTAAAACCTGATTCCTGCTGATTCTTCTTGGATTATGTAGGGACTACACATAGGTACAACTCAGAGAAAATGACAGAACAATGAAGCCAGACTCTTTAAATAGTCTTGATGATTTTTGAGCAGTCTTGGGAATCCAGAAAGGTCCCAGCTGACTGGAAGCTGGCAAACATTGTCCTGATTTTCAAGAAGGGGAAGAAGGAAGACCCTGGAAACTACAGGTTTGTCAGCATCACTTCAGTGCCTGGTAAAACTATGGAAAAGATTATTCTGGGAGGTATTGAAAAACATTTGGAGGACAATGCAGTCATTGGTCACAGCCAGCATGATTTCATGAGGGAAAAATCCCGCTTGTTGAACCTGACTTCCTTCTATGACAGGGTAACCCACCTAGCTGATCTAGGAAAGCCAGTAGATGTAATCTTTTTGGACTCCAGCAAAGCTTTTGATACTCACAGTATCCTTCTGGACAAAATGCCCAGCACATAACTGGATAACCATGTAACGCGATGGGTGAGCAATTCGCTCACGGGTCCAGCACAGAGGGTAATAGTGAATGGGGTAACATCAGACTGGCATCAGGTCACTAGTGGGGTTCCACAGGGCTCCATCCTCAGCCCACTTCTTTTCAATATTTTCATTAATGATGTGGACACAGAAATCAAAGGTATACTAAGTTTGCCAACAACACTAAATCAGGAGGAGCTGTCGATTCCCTCGAGGGCAGAGAGACCCTGCAGAGAGACCTCAACAAATTATAAAGATGGGCAATGACAACTCTATGAAGTTTAGCAAGGCCAAGTGCCAGATTCTGCACCTGGGACAGGGCAACCCTGGTGTGTGTACAGACTAGGGAATGAGAGGCTGAATAGAAGCACTAAGGAAAGGGAACTGGGGGTCCTGGTCTATGGCAAGTTGACTATCAGTCAGCAGTGCCCTGGCAGCCAGGAGGGCCAACTGTGTCCTGGGGGGGCATCACGCACAGCATCGCCAGCCGGTCGAGGGAGGGGATTGTCCCACTCTGCTCTGCACTGGGGCAGCCTCACCTTGAATATTGTGTGCAGTTTTGGGTGCCACAATATAAGAAAGATATTGAGCTATTAGAGTGTGCTCTAAGGAGGGCAATGAGGATGGTGAAGGGTCTGAAGGGGAAGCTGTATGAGGAGTGGCTGAGGTCACTTGGTCTGTTCAGCCTGGAGGAGACTGGGGGGAGACCTCTTTGCGAACTTCAACATCCTCACGAGGGTAAGTGGAGGGGCAGGCACCGATCTCTTTACTTTTGGGACCAGTGACAGGATCCAAAGAAATGGCATGAAGCTGAGTTGGGGGAGGTTTAGGTTAGATATCAGGAAAAAGTTTTTCACCCAAAGGGTGGTTGAGCACTGGAACAGGCTCCCCAGGGAAGTGGTCACAGCACCAAGCCTGTCTGAGTTCAAGAAGCATTTGGACAACCCTCTCAGGCACATGGGTGTGATTCTTGGGGTGTCCTGTGCAGGGCCAGGAGTTGGACTGATCCTGATGGGTCCCTTCCAACTCAGCATATTGTATGATTCTATAAAATGCCTAATTAGAGTCCTGGTATCTTTCTTTATACAAGTGTGATGATGGCCTTTTCTTCAAGTATCATATGCTTTTCTTAAAGCTCACAATGCTAGGCTCTTTAGAAAAGATCAAGTATTCAGTGTGGAGGCTCCTGTCACAGAGCAATGCAGGGCAGCAGGTCTGCAATACATTCATTTTACTGACAACATGGTTTTTAGCACAGCAAAAGCCAGTATTGCTTCTGTGAGCATGGTAACACTGACTTCTGTATTTATGAAGACTTACTAATTCTAAGTACCTCATTAGCACAGTCCTTAACCATATCACTAGCTAAAAGGACTTCTTTATTATTCTTAATAGCAGCAATGCTAAGGAGCACATTTTTATCTATATCAGCAAAATGGGAAAAAGGGGAAACCCTACTTTCTTAATTTTCGGTCACTTCTAAATAATTACAAAAGTCAAGATTTGTAATTGGTCCAATGTGTAATAATAGCTCCATCACAAATTCTAGCTTCCCTATACTTTCTTCATTTCACATCCACTTTCATGAAGTTTCTCCCCATACTGGCACAGCCTAGGTAGGATTCTAATGATATCTGCTTTTTAAACTGCTAGCTGTATTCAATTTAAAAGCGAATATTCTGGTTTTGTGTGATTTTGATTTAAGAACCCCCTAAAACCCAAAACAGAAAATCCCACCAAAACCTTAATAAGCCAGGATGATAGACATGATCTTCAAATGCTTATGTAAAGCACTGTTGAAATTAGCTGGGCTCTGTCAGTCTGTGGCAGCAAATTTCTTGTGGTCCACTTGCAGGAGCTGACAGGGAAACCACAGCACACACTGGGAGCTGGTCAGGGAACACAACACCCTGTTTCAAAGGCTGGTTTCTGGGGCTGCTCAGACAACCAGTCACACACATCTGTGGTGAAGATGTCTGTAACATTTGGATTAAAATATTTATTTACTTTAATAAATATTTATTTAATGCAAATATTTAAGTATTTGCATTAAAAAGCCTCAACCAAAATTAAGGGACAAACTCACTGCATTGGAAGCTGGTGTTCAGCTGCCCTTCTCTTCTGCTACCACGGTAACAATAACGCTCACTACCCCTGCCCTCCTACACCATGGCAGGGAGCAGGCACAGGGAGTGGGAGAGGAAGAGCCAGCAGCACCTGCCTGGGTGCTGTGCTGACAGCACACAACAGCTCTGCTGCACATGCAAGTCTCTCCTAAGGTACAGGAGCAAAGGCCAAATTCTGCTCTGTTACTTTTATGAGGTGAAGAGAAGACGAAGTGCACAGGTAGAAGAGAAACAGTCAAAAACATTCATCACAGACACAGTTATGACCCAAAGAGAATCAGTACCTCTGCATCTAAATGCAAAACAAGCATAACAAAAAAAATAAAAATCACACAATCTTCCCCCAAAACAATCACAACACCCTTCCCACCTGAAAAGATACAATGAACAGAAATGATGTACAAAAAAAACCAAAAGGGAAGAAATCTTTGTTAACAGACACAGTCCCTGAATTTTTTTAAGATGTGGTCTTGCTGTAGTCATACCACCTCATCTGATTCCAAACCATGTACTTCATAGAGAGTGTCCAAGATATTTAGCTGCTTTTCCATGGCTGGTAAGTAAATGTTGAGGTCCCTCTGCATTCCTTTGTAAAATGTTTCTTCCTGAGGATCACACTCCTCTACAGACAGAGCTGCCACAAAATCTTCATACGTTGGAGCTGCCCTTAAAGCCAACTGGGAGAGGAACCAAAGCTTTTATATTTGCAAAATAGAACAGGAAAAGAAACACAACTAAAGCCACAAAAACCTTCTAAGACCTCCCTCTTTGCACTTAGACTGCATAGCTTTAATTTAATTATGTGTACATGTATATGTTAAGAATTTTAACTACGAGGGAAGCTATTTTATTTTTGTTTGTTATTATTTTTGTGTAGATCTCCAGTTTAAGACATCTTCAGAGAGGCCTGATTTTTATGAAGTGTCTGTGTATCATATTTTGTACAGATAAATAGCATACATTAGAAATTTATTAAGTGCAAACCCCAAATAAAGTACAGTTTGTTAAGGGAGGTCCCAATCCAGCGTCACACACTTCAGCACTGAGTTCTCAAAATGGTTTTTAGAAAGCTTTCCCCAGCATTTCTGTTTCTCCCAGTCAAAGTCACTACTGCCTGGACGAGGCTTTCCTTTTGTAATTTCAGTGATAATTTTCCAGGGACAAACACAAGGGGGAGCTGCCAGATTGGATGAAAAATTTTCTCTAGTCAACATATTCTACTTCAATTCCCCATACATTCTGCACTAACCCTTCTTGAATGCTCATATTCAAAGACAGATCAATCTTAAGAAAAGAAACTTCAAATCTTCATTTCTTTCTTTAACAGCCCTGCAAGACCATGCTTAAAAACACATAATAAAAAAGTGTGCATGCAAGTGCGATCTGCCTGTTTCATCTCCAGAAAGCAGGTTCCACCCTTAAAGCCTAAGACCAAACAGTGATAACCACAATCCTCACCTTAAAAATAAGGTTCTGGCAAAGGAATCTAATAATTTTAATACCGTTTATTAATTACACAACATATGATCACATGAATAATACCCCCAGCTCTATCAGCGACCAAGGTAAATACTTACCGCAAAGACCCCTCGGACAACCCAACCATGGTGCTGCCGTAATGTCTTTCCATAAGCATTGTCTTAAAGAAAAAAAATTATAAATCAAGACAGAGATGTATGGCAGTTTTAAGTCTTCATCACAAAGAGATCTCAGAGATTAGAAATGACTATTTAAGGGTATATTCTTGTCACTGGATGTAAATAATGGCTGTGTCAGAGTACTGAAGTTATGACTGAAAGGAGATGACAGATTTGGGATTTCTGCACTAGGCTCAGCTCTGCTGTTAAATCTCCTTCCAACCCATTCATGGCAAGAAAGTTTTCTAACAGACAGGAAGGCAAATGTGAAGTCTGAGAAAATACTATACAGGGTGAAACTCCAACAGTAAACTGAAACTACACTGGTGATACAAATATGGAAGAACTTTCCAGGGGAAGAAAGGGAATGAAAAAGTGGGAAGAAAACCAGCAGCATGGCTCTGCTGCAGGCACTGAGCAATTCAAGGAGTAATTCAATGCTGAAGCCTTCAGACTCAGAAGGTCAAATAAATGTCTTGACTTGCCATAGTGTTTAACACCCACATATGGTAGCAGTGTATTTACAATCCCACTTCCTAGAGCTGCTACATACTTCAGTGTAGTAGTTCATTTTATTAATCCTATAGGGTGACTGCTTAGCTGTTTAAAAGAAGGTAAAATAAAAAGCTCTAAAAAAAAGCTGTTTCAAAGCTGTTTTAAAGGATTATTATAACATTAGACTTCATGCATACAGAGAGGGCCTTACTCAGGAATAACCAAATCAAGTCTAAGAGGGGTTTATATTTTGTTTTGTACTTGCTGTGGCCATTAGCCTGCCTTGGTAAGTGTCAGAAGTTGTGCACTTGAAAAAAATTCCTTCTTCTCTGTTACAAACTCCCTTCTAATGGATGCAGGCAATTCACAGCCATACTGGCAAAGAGGTGATTTCAAAGAGTCATGGCCAATCTCACATGGAACTAACAAACTAACAAAACAGCAATTACAAATTTGGGAGCACTCTTGCTGCAAACTAGTAGAGAAAGTGGAATGAGACAAAGCTCTTGGTTCCCTAAGACATGACTGTCTCCTCTGTCAAAATTATGCCAGTTACAGGAATCTTTATCTGCTAACAAATCAACATTGACCACTTATCTAGTAACCCATCCCAAGGCAACCATTTAAAAAACCTCTGCTTCCAAAAATGTTAGGTCTTAGAGACTACTTGCATCACTTGTCACTGATGAAAAGAAAATACAGGTTCTAAATGAGGAGGAAAGTAGCCAAGTACGTAAATTCAGAAGTACATGAAGAATAAAGCAACTGGCACTTACTCAGAGCTGTTTGGATATTCTTTTCCCCATTCTTCACTTCTGTCAAAAACCCTTTCAAGAACTTCAAGCCTCTGTCAGGATGAACCCATGAAATAAAAAGAAACCACGTTTATAACAAAGTAACCCAAAGTCTAACAAAGCCCCCAAAGTTGCACTACAACTCAGAAGAGCAACAAAACTCAGAATTAAGGAGTTATTTTCTTTCTGAACAAAAAAATGCAGCCACCTCCTCCAACGTCTTTCCCAGCCCAAGGGAAAAAAACTTTGCTAAACATTTCTGCTGCATCTTGAAATCATCTGCCTGATGCTCTGGCCCAGAAGGATTAGTCATTCACCGTAACTTCACTTGCATGGGGGAAAAAACTCGGTGTCCTGGAATTGCTTTTTTCAGGCCTTTTGGCAAAGTTGCAGTGATACAACCACAGACAACACATTAATCCTGAACCTGGCCAGTTTGGATTGATGAAACCTGTGGAAAGTAATCAGTTTGCTCCATGTACACAAGCTTGCAGTGGTGAAAGACCTCTCATTGCACCTTAGCAGTTCATAATGTATGCAGATATGAGGTCATTACCTTTTCAGCCACAGGAGAGCCTCTGTAGCAGAGTTTCTAACTTGTGCTACACCTGCGTTCACTTCATGGAGCACGATCTTCTGAAGGGTATCAAACTCTTCTTTGTTGGTAATAAATTTCTGGTTTATTTTCTGAAGAAAATACAACGAGTAAAGCTTCAGGTTTTTAAGACCAAACAAGGACCTGTCCAATAAATACCACCCATTAACCAGGACTCCTTCCTGCTAAGAGATACTACAGATTCACAAGCATGTCACATACTCCCCATGGCATGGTTGCCCTGCCAAGGTGGGCACGTTGGTCCAGGGCACCACTCCAGACACATCTGCTTCTTAATGCATTAACTTCCTCCTGCTTGGCTGAGCGAAGGGGTTTTTTTTCCCCTCCATTTGTTTTACAGCTTAAAGTCAATATTGCTAACATCACAAACCTGTTCAACTCAGAATCAAAGTCATATTCATTAGGTGTAACAGATGTTTTACTTGGCAGTCAATCAAGTATTTTTATAAGTTTGGACACAACTGGATTTATTAAATACAGCATGTACTGTAAGAACAGAATTAGGGGCATTTTAGTACTCTGATCTGACAGATGGTAACATTATCAAATATTAAATAGCCTACCACTATTGACTCCTACCACATATTTTTGAGTTTTAGTGCCTAAAATAGATATTTTGCTTAAAAACCAAAAACCAGTGCTAGAAATAAGCTGTTACCTTGATGTTGCCTACAAAATCCATTTTAACAGGAGCAAAAACAGTTGGTCCCAGCTTGTCTAGGAAAAAGAAAAAAAGGACATATTTTAAAATAGTGTCTTTTTCCAGTCCTCATGTTTTAGTAACAATTAATTTAATTTACTCTCTTAACAATGCTTTAAATGGCTGGAGAATACTAAATGAGTGATGCAAACGCAATTTTTCTTTGGTGTACAACCAGTCCACCTCAGTCAGTACAAGCATTAAAACCCTCTGACCTACAGTCTGCTAGTCTTCAAAAGGGTGCATGCTCACAGGGACCTCACATCCACTGTTAAATGCAGGCAGGGGGCTGCACTAGTTGGTGACAGAAGTTGTTGGAAAAATCAAACAGATTACAGTTGATGGTGTGCTGGCAGTTGTACTGGATGTGTAAGGTATTTATACTGCTCTTTTGAGGGGAAGAAATTGCTGTTCCAGACAGACCACAGGTTTCCAAGCTGTTTATACATGGGTCCCACGTGAATGAGAGTGGATTCTCTTTAAAGCCAAGGAGTAAGAAACATGTTCTGGTACCAACCAAATTGATCTGCTGATACTGTTTCTACTATATCACTTTAGTGAAGAAACAAATTTTCTAAACTAACTGCTCCACCTTTTCTTGCAGCTGGTAGCAGTAAAAAGGACAAGAGAAGTTGCTTACCCAGAACAGGCACAATTGCATAACATGATTCCAGAAACTCCTCTGTGGGTATGCCCTCCTCCTCCCGAAGTTCAATATCACTGAACCTGGCGCCAAGGACGAGCAGAAAAGATTGTCACCTTAACAATTCCTTTTGTATTACTTCTAATGCCAAAATTACATTTCCTGTCCATGTCATTTGCATAGAGGTAAAATTTATAGACGTGAAACCACCAACATAGCTTTTGTTTCACTATGTTAAAGTAACTGACTGCAGAAAATACACATTTGGTGGTGTGCATGCAAGACCTGCAACTACAAACAAGGAAAAACCTTCCACTTCATCCTGTACAGTTAATTTTACAAAAGGTATCATCTTCTAATTACTGTGCTGTAAGCAGTCTTGTTAAATAATCTCAGTAAATACAGCTTTACAGACAGAAAAGTCTTAAAAATAAGTCAATTAAAGACTTAACAAAGTTTCAATAATCCTTTTAATCGAAATCTGTACTACCTATTGCTCATGACACTGAAGAAGGTTGGAGAATCATTTCCATTTTTGTCTTCCTCACACGGAGTCAATCTACTTAAAGAATTTGTTTCTGACTGCAACAACTTGTGGGCAGCATAGCTTTCTACAGCTTGCAGCTTGTCCTCTCCATCTTCTTTAATGCCTAACATTTACAGGAAACAGAAGAAAAACAGACAAAAAACCAGTTACATATCCATATTGTTATTCCTGTTCTTCAAGATGCCCTCCTGTTCGAAGGAAGGCACTTGAATACCTGCATCATTCAGTTTAAAAGTTTCCCTGCCAGCACCATGACTCTCACTACAGGTCTATTGGGTGCTCAGACAACATTTCAAACATTTCCCTCCTCATTTCTTTTAGTCAGACAGACCAAGCACCATGCACCAATGCAGGTGAGCCCACATATCCTCAGCAAGGACAGCCTTATGAGAGAAGAGCTTTGAAGAAGCAAGTAGGTGCAGCAGGGAGCAGACTCATCTCCTTGAAAGGAAGATTACTTCTCATGTGGCTGTAACTTTCCCAGTACTGTAAAAGTGGCACAGTGCACTTTCAAAAGCAAAAAAATAACAGTGACTTGCTTGCTCCTTCTGATAAGCTAGCAAACTGGTTGCTTAGACGGACACCGGTATGATATCAAAGACTGCTATGCTCTCCCCCATTTCCACAAATATCTTTAAAGTTTCCCAGAAAAAGATCCATGTGCCTCTTCCCTGCTGTGATCTATTTTATTTCTTCTTTGGGGTCAAGTACATCTGTTTCAAATACATACAGCACTACACAAGCACTTCCGAAGGAAGACAAAATCTTCCTTATACATCCCATAGGTGGTAAGACCTTCTGACCTCATGGAGAACTTCTAGAACAATTCAAGAAGCAAAAACAATAGATTCACAGCATCTGCAGCATACAAGCTATGGCTACAGCACATCTTGCTGGAAGACTGTCAACTAGGATCCCAGATTTCCCAGGGAATGTGTCTCTCCAGGAAAGAAATATTTTCAAGTGTCAGTGAGGTTTAGAGAGAAACCTGAAGCAGAACTGAGCTTCTGGCTGAAGGGATCAAGCTGCAAGGAACTCTCTTCCTTCAAGTGACATCTGAAAGCACACTTGCAGAACCACTGAATAAACCTGGTGCTGCATGAAAAAAGAACCACTCACACCAGTAGCAGCAATGAAACTTGAGCCATTCTCCTCAGGGCAGAATAAAAGTGGCCTCAGAGGTCACTGACATTAACAATCCAAGTGTCTCTCCTAAGGAACTAGAATTTGAGTGATGACACTGATGTGTCCTTCACCAAGACACACAGGCTGGTGAGCAGAGAAACAGCCCAAGTCTGCAGTGATTCCACAGGAGTGCTATGCAAAAAGCCTGGCATCCTCCAAAATTTCAAACTCAAACACTGTAAGCCCTAAACGACATACAGAAATTTATTACAGGACTTAAATGCTTGACTATTTTTAAAGACTGACTGCTCTTACTAAAAGGGAGAGAGAGGGAAAAGCATCTGAGACAGGGCAGAGCTGGTGAGCCCAGGAGCACCAAGATACAGCCATTGTGGAGAAAAAGCCCTTGGGCTGGCTCGGTAAGCCCATCTCATACAGATGGCACTGCACACCCTAACTCCACCCTGTATTGCCAGCAAACCCCTGCAACTCACATGTGTGTACACAAGAGGAGGTAGTTTTTTCTCTTTTCTGCACAGGAATCACAGTAGCTGAAATGACACCAACAATCTGACTTGAATTAGTTTAATCTCCTTGCTTTACCGCTGTTTTCTTGAGGTATTATGCTAAATGATAACACATGTATGTTATTCTGCAAGGACCTGCCGCACTACATGATACCAGCCATGGAAATGGGAAAAGCTCCAAAGAGAACTCATGTAAGAGCAAAATCAGTATGATCATTAACTTGGGCTTAAAAACTTCAGATGATTCACTGACTGTATATGTATGTTTTGGAATAACACCCAGGTAGAGAAAGCTACTGCTCAAGAATGGTACAGTCCATTCAACAGGCTGAGCAGAAATCATGTTACTTAAATAGACTTATCCAGATTACTGAATTAGTTCAACAGTATTTTACTGAAGTCAAGCACAAATTCAAGTTTCATGCTATTGCTAAGGTAATGGAAGAAATAAGATGCTTCCTAGCACATTCTCAGTTGCAGAAAAACGGTTAATTTCCTGTAAAGATTTGTCAGAGCAATCAAGAGTGACTACAAGTTCAAGCCCTCCCAGACAGGCACACAAAGCTTCAATGTCCTCCTTCTGACACTACAGCTCTACATACTAGCAGAGGTGCCAGGATTCCCAGAGGAGAGCCTCTGGGCATAATGTGTCTGTCCACAATGCAAGAAGAGTCCAAGCTCTGTCAGGCTGTATTGTTTCATAGGTCAATCAGCATCTGGAGGGCCTCAGCCTGTCCAAAAAAGAATTTTTAATTTCCTTACCCATTCAGTCTCAAGTAAACCATCAAAAAGGGCAGCAGGAGCTATGCTGAGAAGACTCACAGAGGGCAGACACCAGATTGAAACAGACTGATATTCCCTCTCTGGGGAAGCAAGGGATTGGTATTCTCACAGGCAGCCTACACATCCCTTCATTTACACTTACAGAGTAATGATCCTGGATAAGAGACAGTGCATATAATTACCTGCCAAATCCTCTGCTATGTGATCTTCAACAGAAACATCACTGCTCCCCTCACTTGTTTCCAAGTTTAAACATTCCAGACTTTTAATAAGCGTTTGCTCTTGATGGTTAATTTCTGCTTTCACACAGCCATTTTCACAGGGGTTCAATTCCATCTGCCTGAAGAAAGGGAAAGAATAACAGTTAGTGTATAAAGCATTGCTTGGTAAGCTTCTTCCTGCAAATACAAGCAAATAACAATAAGAGAAAAACAGTTGACAGAAATTATAGGCTGTCACAGGCTGCTGTGAGCAAAAGGACTTGTCTAAAATAATAAAAAGAACTGTGCAGCTCTTTGCAGCAGCTCGGTCTCAGCTTGCAGAGTTCAAATATATTTACAGTGATCTTTATTAAAAAGATACATAATCAAAAAAATACAATTACAAAAATGAAAATCACAGGCAGGTACTGTAACTAAAAGAATATTCCCTCATTAGTAGTTAAAGAGGGGATCCTTGCCATCTACTCCACAAATCATAGTCTGCTCACCATCAAAGATTTTATGAATTTATGGAGTGGAACTTAAAATGCAGGAATGAGCACTGAAGCGGGAGAGAGCTGGCCGGTGATTGACCTGTGAGTCAACCAAGTGGATTGCTGAGAAAAATAAAAGGGAAAGGGCTGATATGGAAGAGACATGAAGTGGGTAAGCCAAATCCCTTTTGTTGCATCTGCTTCCAAGTATGCATTTCAGAGTGACACAGTTCTGCCTGCATCAAGTACTAGTAAGAGTAAAGCAAAAAAAGGAAAGGACGCTACCAAAAACAGATTAGAAAGAGATTGACAGTAAAGACTTTTATTATACCTTTCTGTTGAGGTGTGACTGGACAAGACAGAGTGCTTTACCTGAAAGATATGGAGGGGGAAGAATATTCTTTACAGAAAGAAGATAGTATCATGCATCTCAAACTTCACATTTTATTAAACACAAGTTGGAGTCAGAAAAAAACCCCTCACTAATTCTCTGACCTGGAGATTGTATACAGACAAAAGTGAAAAAGCTTCTATATTATTATACCATTGCAATATTGTAAAGAAAAAAAGAAAAAGGAAAAGAAAGAAAATCAAAAGATTTCTTTCAGAACCTAGCTAGGAAGTGTCAAGTGAGACACCATACAGCACATGGAAAGGAAACAAAGTAGTGAGTTTCCTTTGCAATGTTTTCCTTATTTAAAAAAAAAATTATGAGAAACCAGAAAAACATGAGGCCAGATATGGTTAAGTAATCATTTCTCAGATGCAGTCATGTGTCTACCTTCCTACATACACCTTAACCTTCGGTTTGCCAGAGATGCTCCAGTTTTGTGCCTGTACTTATGGATCCAGGATTCAAGAAAGTGCCCTTGTCATTAAAGAGATAAGCTCATCAGCTCCCACTGGCGTATTACCACAGATCTGATGCTGCTGTAGCTTAGCAGAGTTATAATTGCTGTGAGCTTCCACAGTGCATGAACTTGCCATAGAGCCAAGGTACTTTGAAACATCACTGCCTGCACCTGGAACTGCAGGCCCTGAAAGTTAACGTTTAATAACTTTCACCTATCGTTAAAGGTTAAGAGATCAGTCACTGCTTATTAAAAATGGCCTACGTTGCTTGAAAACCATAAGAAATGGCAGAGTATGTCCAGTGTAGGACTACTAGCTATCACATTCCCTAACACAGTCCCTACTTCTACAAATGCTACTTTAGAAAAGGATGCCTTAGCATCCCTGTCAAGGCTGAGGGAAGAAGATACTGGCCATTACCTTGCTTGTTCTGAGAACTGCTAAATTTGGGGATCCAGGTGGGGTCTGATGCAGTAACTCAGAAGTGAAGGTAGTATTTGCAATCTGCATACATTCTTCAAGAGTCTTCAAGAAGGTGTCACAGGTTGATTTTAACAGAGCTCCCATATCAATCTCATTCTGTGGGAAGAAATCAATTGGAAGAAATGGACTTAGCACATAAGATCAGTTTGGAGCAACTAATGTCTACAAAGCCCACAGCTGCTACAGTCACGATTTCTAGTTAACATGAATTAAAATTCAATGTGTCAGCTGCTTAGAGAACTGGCATCACATATTACTGGGGCTGTGTCCCCTCGCAGCACTACCACTTGTCAGCCTCTAGTACAACAAGCTTAGTATGTTTGTGTTTTAAAAGCCATGCCTATTAGTTACTTATCTTGTTGGTGTTAGAAGTGTATGAAATACTAAGCCTGTATGCATTCAACATTGGCATTCCAAGAAACACCACTGACAGGAGAAATGAAAACTAAACAAATTAAATAGATACAGGATGATCTGCAGATAATAATTTCAAAAATCCCACGAACAAAAATTTATGGCAATTGAAAAAAGGGCAGAATGAAATATCACATCACCACAATACTCTTCATCTCTGTGCAGTGCAGTTATTGATGCTGAAATGCTTTTAGCAATAACTCTTTCCAGTTAAATGCCAGTAGGAAAGATGGTTTTCCCCCAGATGCATGAAATACAAGCTGGATAAACACTACATTACAGGTCAACACCTGTGAGCTGCAAGTTCGAACAGTGCCTCTTAGTCATTTGTAAACTACATCATGCTTCTGTACTGTCTTTTAATTCACCAGAAACAGTTTATCAAGTGTCTTTGCAGAGATTGTTTGGACATACAAATGATTAACCTTCAGGTGTTTTCCTTGTGTTCTGCACCCGAGGACCCATCTGTCCAGTGAGAGGCATCCTGGAACTCCACATCAACTTCTCTAGCAAGTGAAGTGCATCCCTCTTCACACATTTCTCTCTCAAAGCAAGGGGCAGATTGCTGTCACTAGAAGATCCTTCTTAAATGAGGCTTCTTTGGTCAGGAAGATTTGAAAGGTTTGAAACCAAAACTTAAGTGAGGGTAACTAGGCAATTTTGTTTCTTTTGAGGTCTGCATCATCTCTTGACCTTCTAATGGTTTTGGTTGTGTTTTGCTGAGCAGGATATTAGACTCAGGGGCAGAAAAATGTGCACTTCTTGCAAGTTATCTTTTTATAAAAGATCTTTTTTTTTTTGATCCATTATACACATGATCACCTACAGAGATGTTATTGTCTAGATCATAGATACCAGATCACATCTCACTACTCGCTAGCCCAACTCTGGGCAAGGTATTTGCAACAATGGAGTATTACTCCATTTAAACAAGAACTGTTGTGTGAGCACATTATTTCCCACAGGATCTCTGCAGAAAGAGGTTGCAATATTTAGTAACTGTGAGTGAATACTACACTGGCTAACCAGAAAAGTTCACAATGCTCAAGACTTTACAGATGTGGTCTGCACCAAAAAAAGAGCTGTACCTCTGGTTCTGATACACCAGAAATGCTTGCTTCCTTTGTTTTATGCACTTGCTGAACAAGGAGGTTACAGTACAGTCTAAGTTCAGACATTTTAGTCTTCAAGGCTTCTGTGTTTTCAGTGAACTCTAAAAGTGAAACAAAAGAAGAGTTAAATTTATTGTATTTGAGGCCAAGCAAGTACACAACATTTGACTGTAGCGGGCCTTTTACACAGCACAAACCCCCTACATACAACTTTTGTTTTCACTAAGTAGTTTAAGGTCCAAGCAATAGCACTGTTTAGATAGGGTCATAGGCAGAAAACACTGGATGTAAAAGATGCATCCTGTCCAACACAAAAGGATTACTTTAATATAGATATATATATGCACACTTGAATCATAGAATGGATGAAGTTGGATGAGACCTCTGGAGACCAGCTAGTCCTTCTCCCCTGTTTGAAGCAGTCAGCCAGAGCAAGTTACTCAGGGCCATGCCTAGTCAGGTTTAGAACATTGCCACGGATGGAGATTCCACAACCTCTCCGTGCAACCTTTCAGTGCTCCCTCATCCTCATAAGATAAGCATTTTTGCTTATGTCTCAGTGGAGTCGCTTGTATTAAAATCTATCCTCTTGTTCATTCACTGAGAAGAGACTGGCTCCATCTTTTTTATCCTCTCCCATCAGATATGCCTTTAATCATCTTAGTGGCCCTTTGCTGGACTCACTCCAGTATACCCATATGTTTCCTGCACTGGAGAACACAGAACTGAGCAGACTAATCCAGATAAGACTAATGGTCAATCTGAGATTTTTCAGAAGGTTGTTTTGGTTTTTTTTATATCTGAGTCCCAGAAATACAAAATAAATTGTCTGTTAATAAGATTAACATGGTTTAGCTATGCAAATACATCAGTAGCTTTATACCATGTGCTACTGTATGTCAGCTCATAGATACAACTTTTTAATGCTTCTAGGCACTGTGGATCAGATCCCCACTTTGTGTAGGACCCTACAGTAGCATATTTTACTCAGTTCTGATTCAGTTTGAACCAGCAGATGCAAAGCCTGGTGAAGACGCACATAAAACTAAGAGGAGAAGCAGTTCCTCACCTCAAGGGAGGGAAGTGCTTGCCACCCCCTGCATTTGCTCAGGACATTAACAATAGTTTGCTGTTTTCCCATCTTCTGCATAGTCATTGTACTAAGGTGACACAAGGTTAAGGTATGAGGTCTCACACCAACCATAATGCCATGCTTGTAAGCAACAGGGGTTTTCACTGGGGAGAAAGTGAGATTGTTGGAGAAAGCAGAGAGATAAGTGAATTAATTTTCACAGTCTCACCATGGTCAGATTTAAGTTTCTGAATACAAGTACGCACATTTGGAACCAAGTGCAAACTTTTTCCTAATTGCCAAGGGGTTCTTGAAGTGCATAAGACAGGCCAGTTAGAATGTGGAAGGAAAGGGTCTGAGGAACTTCAAAGCTCAATAGACACTGGTATGAGAGGATGGGTCTTTATATTCAGACAGCTGAAGAAGGTAGGGGTTTTACATTCTTGTACAGTCTGCATCCAGTGATCCATAGTCAGAAGCTACTTATTGTACTTACAGAATCCACCAGCACACAGTTTTCACATGATTTATACGTAGTACATTTTAAGAAAAAGCCGAAGTTTTCAAATTCCTGTCCTGAGAGTTAACACCTGAGATTTCTAGCTAATGTTCCCATTAATACATTTCTGTGTACATATACTAGGGCAAGGATGAGGAAATATAAAGCAAACAGCATGTGCCAGCAAAAGGGTATTCTTGCCTTTTTCCTTCTGTGTCCTGCTGTCAGTCAGACAGGCTTTGGCAGTTCCTAGTGCAACCAGCCATTTTTGCCTTTCAACTGCATTTCTTGCCTTCAGATAGAAGTATTGTTCCCCTGGGATAATCAGGTCCATTCGTGTGTTATCTGCAGGATGAACTGAAAGCAACATAGATTTCAGACCCTCGGCCCTTCCCAGCCCGACAAAATATCTCAACAGATATGTTAGGTGGCAGGTCAAACAGTAGTGAAAGAGGAGGAACCTACAGCTCCAACTTCTGCTGCTACCATTGTATGACTTCTCTTCAGAGTAAGGGAATGGACAGGACACACGTGTACAGCTGTGTGACAAAAGGCTATGAAAGGCAGTTTTGTGATCAGTATCATCTGGGAGTTTTTATGGAAAGGGCATCCTCTTCTGTCAAGCCTCTCTTTCAGGCTTCCAGCCTGTAACTGAACCTCAAAGATGTGGCAAATAATCCAATATGAATGAGCAGACCTAGTACTGAAGTTTATTATTCACATTTCTAGCTTCAGCTTTGTGCTTATGAGGAGTCATTTGAAGCTGTGCAATGTTCCACCGCAGCTCAAGAAAAACAGTGACCCACCTGCATGATAGAATACCCATGATATTTGAGGCTTGCAGCTCTCTCAACATTTTCAAAATACTGTGGAATAAAAACTGGCATATAGATCAAGTTACTGAGTTCCCACAAATATATACCGAAGAAATCAAGCTGTCCAATAGCTCGTCACCTGAAATCTCATCTTGAATGCAACATTATTAGACAAATTTCATGCAGCTGAGTGTTACTATATATTAGTTACCTTGAATTTCACAAACGGCCATTTGGATGCTTCCCTTACAACCCTTCCAGGCATCTTCCTGAGAGTCATAATAGGACAGGATGCCACCACAGAGGAGAAACCATCGTGGCTGCCAGCCTGAAAAACAAAACTACATTTCTCAGTTCTCTCTCTGCAATTCCACCACCTCTCTCACTCAGGACACACCGCAAATAAGGCCCCAAAGATTCTCAGTCCCCCTGGAAAATTAACCCCTTCGTAGTAGCAAGATTTGTGGACAGGCCTGGACCTTGTACCCCATAACCCCTGCTTCCTGGCACCTGCATGTCCTTTCTGCAGGCAGCTGGACCATGGCTGTATGTGTCTGAGATGCCATATGTCATTTTCAGTAGTTTTGGTAACATGGCATTACTGACTCATTCTCTCTTCCAAGTTCACCCCTCAGTTCCTTCCATCACTCCTCAACCCACTTCTTCACTCTTCACAAAAGCCACCCCAGCTGTCTTGCCTCCCAAGTCATCTTCCCTTGCAGAAAGGGCTAGCCAAGTTATCTTGAAAAAACAACGGGTAAGAAACTCCTAAAAATCAACAGAAGGAGGGAACAGAGGCGGATGTGTTGATTTCTGAACACCATCTTTCAATGAAGCAGTTTTCAACAGCTCTTGAAACTCTCATGCTCCCCACATAAAAAGTAGTCTTGAATTACTGACTTGCACTTCTGGATACTTTTCCAGAGAATAACCAAAACAACAAGGATGGAACACATCAGTAGTTCTGGGTACACTTTTTCCCACCCCGCTGCCCAGCTTCAGAAGTAAATTACCCTTTTGGTTCTCTATTTTTGGAAGTACTATAGCAGTACGAAAAGTTAAAAACTAAACCAGATATGACAGATGACATTTATGTCTAATTAAAACTACAAGCTCATTAACTTTAGAAGAAATGAGGCAGCAGTGTCACTGGAGGAAAGCAGCTTTCATTACTGAGGTGCAACAAGCTTCCCTGGCCTGGACCAACGGAGCGAGATTCTGAAGCTCCTACACTGTGCCAGCAAACCACCTCTGGGAAAAACACTTGGACAAGACCATGTGGGCTACGTGGCTCCTAGGTGTTTTTGCAGAGGGGCATCATTTCTGCTGCACCAGGGCTCTGCCAACCAGCACAGCACCGCAGGAGTCCAGGCTGGGCTTGGACTGATACCACACTGGAGGAATGACAGCTCTCTACCAGCTAGAGACTGATTCCTTTGGGCTGTTGCTGAAACCAAGCACAACTCAGTTTAAGGTCAGAAAGCCCTAAAGCCTCAGGGTCAGAAAACCCTAAAGCCCTCAGCTCAGTAGGAGTAGGGTTTGGGTTTGTTTTTTTTTTTAAACAAGCAATACCACTGCATCCAGGCCAACCTGGTCTGTAGATTGCTGAACCTTATGGAGTGGCTGGAAAATAAGTTAAACGTAAGTATTTTTTTCACACCCTTCCAGAGCTCTTCCATTATTTCCTAGAAGAATATAAAGACATTAAAAAGCCAATGTATTCTCAATGCTCTTTTACTTTATATGAAGAGAAAAAAAAAAAATCACAAGAATGAGAATTAAAAAAAAAAGGACTGATTTTTATTTGTCTTGCCTCCAAAATAAAGAAACTATCCTAAAAGTCACTATTGATATGTAGGAACTCACAAAAAAAGGAAGTGATTGTTCAGCAGAGAGAAGCAGTTAATTGCTTCAGACACTCAATGGCACAGAACCAATCCTTTAAATAATGCACAGCGCCACAGTCAATACAAGCCTCTAATTCAGTCTGAAGATCCTGCTGCTGCGCATGAATCATTTCAGCCATGGTCCTACAGCTTACAATTGCAGCTGATGCTCAAACAAATTGCATCCCATCAATTAAAGGCTGTGCAATCAATTAGCCAACATACAAAGCTCCATTGCTTTGGAGCCTGGTTAAAAATGTTATGAGTCAATATATTTTATTGAGGTTTTCATTTGGTTGGGTTTTTTCTTCCTGGGTCTTGTTTTGTTGAGGGAGACACAGCAACTGCCTGTCTTCTTTTGCAGAATCTAACTATTCTTTAATTATTAGATATGTATTAAAAAAATACTATGACAGATAATTATTACCTAGGACAGCACATATTTTCAGAACAGAAGTGTTACACTAACAAAATACCTTTTCATAAAAGGAAGTGAATTTAAAAAAAAGAATCATAGCAAGGTTCTGTCAGAAGATGCACTAACCACCTGGTACTCACTGACACTGAGTCAGCAGCCATGGGAAGGTTATCCTAAACAACTAGCTAAAAATAGCACGTGGCTGACAAATCATGGGCACTGCAACAGGGATACAACGTTTAATGACAAGAGCTTCACCTTTGCAGGCAAGCAAGGAGTGGAGGAAAAAAAAACCCCTCATAACAAAAAACAAAGCAGAAAAAAGACACTTCCACAAACACAAGTCTTGGGTTTATTCACTGTTATTTTGTCCCCATAAACTGTCATAGGAATATTGCAATTTTTGGAACTGAGCATTCAGACTTCACCTCATACAGAAAGGTAAAGCTGAACCTTTAAAGGTCTTACAGGTGCCAGCACTAATATAACTTTGAAGAAGAATCTACTAAGTCCATTTATACTGGCGGTGCACAGGCAGGAAAAAATACAGCTCATACTTCCCACAGTTTGTTTTAGAGGATCAGTGCCATTAACAGTAAAAATTGACCTTGCTGGGGAAAGGTATGTGTAAAAAAAGACAATAAAATGCAAAGCACAGTAAAAGTGATTAGTAGCTTAAGATCTCAGCCATAGAAGAGAGTGAAGAGATCCCAGACAACTTCACAGACACTGATTAAGGCACATCTTGCACTCCCGTGTGAAACTTACAGTTACTGCCTGTAGTACCTGGAAGATCTGATACTGTTCACTACAAAAACAGATACTTAAACAGTCTGTGCCTGCTAAAGATTCACTATTTCTCCAGAAGTTTCCACAGACTGAAAGATCAGCCTACTTCCACCATTACACTTCAGGAAGTCTGGATAAAGCTATCACTGAGCAAACTTGACATTTCTTGATAACACAGTTGAAATTTGGACATAATTCAAACTTTAATGTTACACAACTCAAACTCCAGACAGCATTCCTTCCAAAGTGCCAAGCCTGAAGAAAAAAACTGCAACATTTGAAGACATGTAGATCATGTCAGACATCCAGAAAGCCAAACCATCTGGGAGAATTACATACTCAAGAAGTCAAACTGATGACCTGGAAAACAAGTTGCAATTAAGACATGCCGATTCCATGCATTTCTAAAGGCATAAAGGCCAGACACTCAGGTTTTTATTACTGCTTTCTTTCCACTAGAATTATGTAACACATTATGCTTATTAATTTCTTGAGCGTCAGCATAGGTTTATATAAAAACTCAGCAATAGATAGTCCTTGGATTTCTTTGATCCTAATTCAGACTTTAAGTGTGGATAGGAGATAATTATGAACTTTGCACATTACAACATCATCCATCTAACAGGAGGAGGTAAAGCCATCATCACATTCCTACTGCTAATATCACGGGCAAGATCCAAGACTTAGCAGCCAATGGCAGAGCGGGGCGGATCCCTGTTTTTCTCTGCAGGGTCACAAGAGTCCTAGAGCAGGTGCCCTGATGGTCAGAAACATCACAAAGCAAGAGCAGGCAATACCTGTCGTTTCACCCTACCCTGAGAAAATGTAAACTCTGCCACGTGTTCATCGTTCCACCACCTACTGCTTTATCTCCCAGTGCCCAAGGACAGAAGGATCGCAGCTTCTGCACAGCACTGTGTCAGCAAATGACAGCTGGATGGGAGCTGCTGAAAACTCAGCTCTAATAGGACCAAGACAGTGCCGGTGTCTTGCAAGAAGCTCAGAAGGACCACTTCTGATCTTAATGTGCATATGTCCAACAGACAAGGATTTCCCAGGGGAATTAAGGCTATGGAAATCTCCATATCACACATGGATGAAACACCTGTTTTCAAGATCTCAGCACGCTTGCAATCTTGACTACAGGGCCACACCAAATCTTACAATCCAGTTTGTGACAGCTGATTGCCTAAGTTTAGTTCACATGGCCACACGTTTCATGCTGGCAGTCACCACCAGGTTTTTAGTCAGGAAAAGTGTTTAGCAAAAAAGTATATCACAGAGTTCTAACTTGAAACTTTTCACCTTTATTTGGATTCAAGAAACAGAAGCAATACAGTTGGTTATCTTGACACAAGCAATCTGCACCCAAAACTGCTGCCTACTTTTTCTATACAGCCTCCTAAGGCTACACAGTATTTTCCCGGGTGCTGGAACACATTTTTGCAGCCTTAATTCAACAACAAAACAATTTAATGCCATAAAAATCCCATCTGTATCCATAAGGGACACCAGAAATGCAGATAGGAGCGTGTGACAATCCATACCTGTTCTCTGAGCTATTATCCTCTCACTTAGAAAGCAGCTAAATAAAATATTTATTTATTGCAAATAAAATATTGCAATTTTACTCTGATTACGTGCATATTAACAGCAGGAATCAATACCAAAAGCCCATAAAGGTAATGAAGTTAACAGACTTAGCACTTTAACAATAGTATCACTTTTAAAAGCACTTGTTTGAGGAACATTAGAGGTTCAAGTGAATGAAGCAACAGCTGGAGCCAGCTGTAACACAATGACCTTCTCCCAAATGATTTTTCTCACAGGAGTTCCATGAAGTCCACCTTTGCTTCCATCACAAGTGTTAGGGCAATTCTAGCAGCATTCAAAAATCATCCTGCCACCACAGGGTAACTGGGTTTCTTTGCAAACTATTTTATGCCAGTGACTGGTCAAGGCACAGAGGGCACAATGTACCAGCCATCAGGCATTTTTGAAGGGGACTCAGTGAAAGGATGAAGGGCAGAGAGGGGATTGTGGTGAGCAATGGAAGCAAAAGTTCAATAATGCAGGTCACTGCTCAGATGCACTAATTTAAGTCATACAAAGCTCCTGGGACTTTTTCTCCTCTCTCTATACTTCCCAGCCCCAGCAAACAACTGCTCCTGTCTCTGACCCCTGGGGTGCTTATCAGGCCAGACTGAGCCAACACAGTGAATTTATGTAA